AGTTTTGTCATTATTGTTCCAATATATCCAACCGTATTTAATAGGAATTAAAAAAAAAATTTAATGGCTTTGTAGTATAGTTTGATGTCTGGTATTGTGATCCCTCCTACTTTATTTTTCTTTCTCAAAAATAGCTGCGGCTATTCGGGGTCATTTATAGTTCCATATAAATTTTTGAAATGTCTGTTCTATTTCTGTGAAATATGTCATTGGTATCTTAATAGGGATTGCATTGACTCTACAAATTGCTTTGGGTAGTATGGACATTTTGATGATGTTAATTCTTCCAATCCATGAGCACGGTATATGCTTCCATTTATTTGTGTCTTCCTTAATTTCTTTCTTCAATGTTGTATAGTTTTCTGCGTACAGGTCTTTTACCTCCTTGGTTAAGTTTACTCCAAGGTACTTTATTTTACTTGTTGCTATATCGAATGGTATTTTTTTCTGAATTTTTCTTCTTCTATTTCATTGCTGGTGTACAAAATGCCTTTGATTTCTGAATGTTGACTTTGTATCCTGCTGTTTGGCCAAATTCACTTATTAGGTTGAGTAGATTTTTGGTGGAGTCTACAGGGTTTTCCATGTACACTACCATGTCATCTGCAAAGAATGATAGCTTTACTTCCTCCTTTCCTATTTGGATACCTTTTATTTCTTTTTCTCGTCTGACTGCTGTGGCTAGGACTTCCAATACGATGTTGAAAAGAAGTGGTGAAAGTGGACATCCTTGTCGTGTTCTCGATCTTAGTGGGAAAGCTTTCAGTTTCTGCCCGTTGAGTATGATGTTGGCTGCAGGTTTTTCATATATGGCCTTTATTACGTTGAGGAATGCCCCATTTATTCCCATTTTGCTGAGTGTTTTGATCATAAATGGGTGCTGTACCTTATCGAATGCTTTTTCTGCGTCTATCGAGATGATCGTGTGGTTTTTGTCTTTTATTTATGTGATGTATTACGTATATTGACTTGCATATATTGAACCACCCCTGCATCCCTGGGATGAATCCCACTTGATCTGGTACTGGCACAAGAACAGACCCATAGACCAGTAGAACAGAAAAGAAAGTCCAGAAATAAGCCTACATCTATATGGGCACCTAATATTTGACAAAGTGGGCAGAAGCATAAAATGGAGCAATAATAGCCTCTTCAACAAATGGTGTTGGGAGAGCTGGACGGCTACATGCAAAAAATTGAAATTGGATCATCAGCTGACACCATACACAAAAATGAACTCAAGATGGATAAAAGACTTAAATATAAGTCACAACACCATCAAAGTCCTAGAGGAGAACATTGGCAGGAAACTCTCAGATATCCCACGCAGCAATTTTTTCACTGATATGTCTCCTAAAGCAAGGGACATAAAGGAAAGAATAAACAAGTGGGACTTCATCAAAATAAGAAGCTTCTGCATGGCTAAAGAAAACATCAGCAAAATGAAAAGGGAGCCAACCCTATGGGAAAATATATTCGCTAATGATACATCAGATAGAGGCTTTATCTCCAAGATATATAAAGAACTCACTCGACTCCACTCCAAGAAGACAAACGATCCAATAAAAAAATGGACAAAGGACCTGGGCAGACGCTTTTCCAAGGAAGAGATACAGAGGGCCCAGAGACATTTGAAAGGATGCTCGGCATCACTAGTCATCAGAGAAATGCAGATCAAAACCACCATGAGGTACCACCTCACACCAGTCAGAATGGCCATCATAAACAGATCCACAAACAACAGGTGCTGACGAGGCTGTGGAGAAAAGGGAACCCTAGTACACTGTTGGTGGGAATGCAGACTGGTGCAGCCATTGTGGAAAGCAGTGTGGAATTTCCTCAAAAAGCTGAAAATGGAACTGCCTTTTGATCCAGTGATTCCCCTGCTGGGACTATACCCTAAGAATCCCAAAACGCCAATTCAAAAAAACCTATGCACCCCAATGTTCATAGCAGCACAATTTACAATAGCCAAGTGTTGGAAGCAACCTCAATGCCCATTAGTAGATGATTGGATCAAAAAGTCATGGTACATATACACAATGGAATACTACGCAGCAAAAAGAAAAAAAGAACTACTAAACTTCACAACAGCATGGATGGAACTAGAGAGCATTATGCTAAGAGAAATAAGCCAGGGGGCAAAAGACAAATACCATATGATCTCACTGATAAGTGAAACCTAATCAACAATACAAAGATGTAAGGAAAATAAGACCAGCAACACTGAAAGAAAAAGAAACCAACAGAGACAAGAGGGAAGGGGGGGGGGGCAGGGAAAAAGGAAGGGAAGGGGAAAATCAGGGAACATATAGCAAGGACTCATGGACAAAACCAAAGGGGAAGAGTTGAGGGAGGGGGCAGGGGAAAGTGGTGAGGGGAAGGCAGAGACAAATGTATTTGAAAAAATAAATTAATTAATTAAAAAAATAATAAAAAAATTTAACTCTCAATCTGCTATATCTCTCCTGTTAAAAACTAAATATATTTAGTCAATATCTTCAACAATTAAATTGACACACAGTATGTTTCTTTAAACAGCCATAATCATATCCTAATAAACCAGCAAGCAGTTAAAACTCACACACACACACACAAGCCCTGTCCCTCAAACCAAGTCTCTCTAATCTTGTCCTTCACAACTGACTTTTGAACCAATGTGTGGAAACTGATAGCACATTTCATCTTTTTAGGAATGGTCAATCACTGCCACTGTCAAGAGCTTTGAGGATCTCAGGACTGCCATTCAAAAGAATTAACTACTCTGAGGTTTATGCAGTCCACAAATTTCATGCTAGTAAAGCAATAATTTAAAAAATATGATAGGCCCAGCGTTACACCCAGAATTTGGCAGCGGTAACTGGAGAGCTCTCTCCAAGCTCATCCCAATTAGTCAGTGTGTAACTCAACAGCTTCAAATCCACTTCAAATTCTGATTTCTTATCTGTAGGACATGACATGTTTTTCTAAAGACCTAAAATGAATTCCAAACACTGGTCAGTTTAGTAACCTTATTCAAAATAAAATCAGGTTAGTGTTGTAAGACTTGTCAGCTCTCTTCCTCTCCCTGTGGTTTTCCACGAGCTCACTGTAATGGTCTTTTTGACATGTCAGCTTGGCTAGGTTAATGTCCCCAGTTAACCACTCAAATGCTATTCTAGGTATGACTGTGAAGGTATTTTGTAGTTATGACTAAAGACCATGATCAATTCACTTTAAATAAGGGAGATAATTCTAGACAGACTGAGTGCAACTGATTCAGTGAGTTGAAAAGTCTTCTAGCGGAGCAGAGAATTCCCTGAAGGAGAAGAAATTCTACCTGCGGACAGTAGCTTCAGCCTTTGCCCGAGAGTCCCCGCCTGCCCTACTGCTTTCAGGCTTACCTAGCCAGCCCCAAAATCATAAAAGCCCATTCCCTACAATAAATCTCTCCATCTGTATCTCCTCCTGGCTCCGCTTCTTAAGTTAAACCTTGACAGATACCTTCACAAACCATCAATATCTCACAAACACAAAATATCTAGGAATGACTTTAACAAGATACACGTAGTTCCAAAAATCACCTAGAAAGCAGAGAAGACATTGGTCAAGTAACTCAAGGAAAGATCAAATGGGAAGGCAGGCCAGGACCTGGCTTGTTTAGTGAATACAGTCTTCCAGTCTGAATGCATCATAGCCATTTAGGGTTTCTTAGAGGCGTCCCTGTTTTCTTCCGCGTGCTCACTCATGACTGTACTGTCTAGACTTCTGTTTAAGAGGGCCTGGTGTGGCTCTGCGCTGCCTGCCTTCAGGAGTCCCAATCTGTAGGTATCACACCCTCTTCTCTGATTCTTCACTAACATTTGCAATGATAAACTGGGGGATAAAAATTATATAAGATGAAAAAAAAAAATAAGGACCAAGAAGTCAGGAGGAAAACAGAGGGTTTCCTCAAGTTCTGACGGCACTGGTAGGTTTCATTCACAGTATCACTATCTATTACCAGAGTGGACACAGCAATAGCAGCTCTGTATACAAATATGTAGACAACACTTTCCTCTCTGTATTTAGAGTAAATAAAGCAATTTCTTTTTTAATTTGTTATACTGTTTCATAAGAAGCCTATTTAAATATATAAAAATGAAATACTAAATAGAAAATGAAACCAGAACTCTCTGGAGAAAGAACACTGTGATTGGCATTTATAAGGAAAGGCCAAGGTTTTTCTATCATGTTAGTCACACAGGAATATTGGGCAGGACAACAGCACAACAATAGCTGTTCCTGTTTCTTTCAGATTCGATCTTCAGAGGTTTTCTCAGTTCTATGTACACCTGGACTTGCAACTTAAATGAACAATTCTTGGGTGGTAGCCTGCTCCTGTCAGAGAATGTGAACACTGATGTGGTTGATCCAATATTCTTTTCCTTTAGATTTTATTTATTTATTTTTAGAAGGAAAAGAGAAAGAAAGGGAGAGAAACCTTGATGTGTGAAACATCAATTGGTTGCCTCCCATATGCACCCTACCCAGGACCAACTCACAGCCCAGACATGGGCCCTGACCAGGAATTGAACTGGTGACCTTTTGCTTTACTGGACAACATCCAAGCAACTGAGCCATACCAGTCGGGGCTAATCTAATTTTCTTGAGGTCAAAATGGATATATCTTTTTTAAAATACAGGAAAAAAAGTAGGTTTATTAAATGGACACATATTCAACACTAGAATAAAAGTTGTTGACTTCATCTTGCTGTATGTGTGAATGGTATTCTGTAATATCTAAGAATGTTAGGATGCAAATCTCAGTCAGACAAGTTTAAAAATGATGCAATGCCCAATCAATAATAAAAAAAATGTACATAGTATTATAATGTAATATACATTAGATACCAATAATGAGGTAATCTAATAACTAGAAGTGTACAGTTTGAAAATCTGTGTCATGGTCTCTAAAATATATTTATTGCTTTTCAATGGAGCCTCCTGGAATAATTATCTGTGGCTGAAAGATAACTCACCAGTAATGCCATTGGATTCCTGCTGCAGGTCACAGTACCAGAGCCGGTTTACTGGATCACATCCCTCCCTTATTGATAACAACACGTAGCGACCATCATCTGACAACTATGAAGGAAACAGAAACAATGCAGGGGGCTGATTAGAATGTATTTTTTGTGAGAGTGCTGTTAAATATTAAGTAAAAAATACAGGTTACACTCAAAAGTTACCAGAAAAAAGATGAACATCCATTTTAACTTATTTCACTCACAATCACAGTTTAACAAAATGGTAAAATATTTAAATACAAAGTATCGCTAGATGTAACTGAATATCCAAATGACTCAATGTGATTTTTTATTTAAATTCAGCCTATTCCTTTTCTGTATTTTTAATAGTAGAAAGAGAGAGAGCAGGTTTATTACGTGATAAGATAACATGGGAGCGGGTCAGCTCCGAGCAGAGCTTGGCCTCAGAGGCTGGAGGGTTCTATTCTTATAGGGTGGATGTTTCCTGGCTGGTTTTGGCGGGCTTTTATTGCAAATGGGATCTCCCATGATTTTCCTTGATCAGCCGCTGGGGAAGGGGTCCCACAATGTTAATTTATTCGAATGCTGTTATAATGAAGCAGGGGTCATGTGGCATCTTCTGTGCAGGTGCAGTCATGGTTCACTGCGATTCAGGGTGTTTCTGTTCTGTACCTGTGTCCTTTGTTTGAGCCCTGGGGCACCTCCAGAGTTTTTTCCTTCCTGAGGAACTGGTCTTAGAACAGGGTCTCAGCCTACTTCTTAACTGAAAATACATGCAATCTGTAACTCTGTATATTAATATCCCTGCCTTTAAAGTTTTATCGCAGGTTACATATTTTAAAAGTTGTCCTGAATGAGTAAAAATTAGCAAAATGGGCATGGATGCAAAGAAGTTCATTTGTAGTTCACACTGATCACATTAACAATTTCTACTGAACAACTCTTGGTGCCTATCTTTAGGCACCTCCACCACAAGATGACAGAACGAAGGCCTGAACTTCTGTGGATTTCTTTTATAGTATCAAACTGGAGAATCTAAATAGCGAAAATAATCTTGATAAACTACTGCAACAAACACTATGGTTTTGAGTTAAAATATAAATGGTATCAAACTATACATACATATATATCCTTTTACATTATGTTGAATTTTTTTTCATTCAACATACTTTTTAAAATTAATCCATGTTGATATATGTACATTGCATTTAACTGCTGTACAGCACCCCAATCTAAGAATATACCACAACTAACTGATTCATTTTCCAACCAATAAACATTTAGATTATTTCCATTTTCTTCCTATTACAAGCAACACTTTAGAAAAATTCCTGAACATGTTTATTGCGGCCTTGTATAAGTGTTTCTCTTATAGTAGTGTTTCTATATAGAAGTAAAATTGCTCAGTGGTAGGATATACACAAAGTCAACTCTCAGATACTGCCAAATTAAGCGTTGTCCACTCATACTCTTACATTTCAGCAGTGTATAACAGTTCCTATTTTTTCCACATCCTACAGGATAATTAATGTAACGTGTCAACTTTAGGTTATAGTACCTAGATATTTGGCCAAACATTATTCTGGATGTTTCTCTGGAGGTATTTTTTCGGATGAGATTCACACTCCAATCGGTGATGTGAGGTAAAGGTGATTACCCTCCGTAATGTGAGTGAATCTCACCCAGGCAGTCGAAGGCCTTCCCAGAAAGAGGCTGGCTCCCAAAAGCTGGAAGGAATTCTGCCAGGAGATGGGTCCCCAATGAAGCTCCCCCGGGGTTTCCAGCCTGCCAGGCTTTCCTGCAGAACTGGGACTTGTCAAGCCTCCAGATCACACCAGCCCATTTCTAAAAAATAAATCTTTTTCTCTCCACATATACACAGATCCTGTCATTTCCATTTCTCTGGAAACTAATATTTAATAAAACAAAACTTCATTTAATAAAAATTCCCTCAGCAGCTATTGTGTTCAAGTCATTTTCTAGGTGTTAAAGATACATCAGTGAATAGAGAAAATAAAAAGTAACAGTCTAGTGGAGGTATTCTATCACATAAAAATAGAATTATGTGATATATATGAAATGATAAATGCTGTGGAGAACATGAACAGGTCTGGGTAAGAGAGGCAGAATGTGTGGGAAAGGACTATAGTTGTCAGTATGGCAGTCAAGTTAGGCCTCATAAAGGAGGTATCTTTCTACTGCCTTCTTACTTGTACTATCAGATGAAAAGTCATTTCTTATCTTCTTCTCCAAGATTTTATAATTATCTTTGGTTTTCTGCAGACCAATTATAATGGGCTTTGCTATAGCAGCCTGCTTGAGATTTTCTGAGTGTCTTGGATCTCTGAGTATGTCTGTTTATCATATTCATAACCTTTTCCGCCATTTTTCCCCCTCATATACAGGGTGGATCAAGAGTAGGTTTACAGTTGTGAGTACACAAAACAGTTTATTCTTGTGTTACTAATTAATTATTGTATTATTTTCCATATGAACTGTAAACTACTTTTTCTCAACCTATATATTATTTTGTGTCCCTTCATCCCTAAGACTTCAAATACATAATGTTGAATCAGTCAGTAGTGTTCCACAGTCAACAAGACTGTGTTCATTTTGGTTTCATTTTTTTCTTTTGGTGGTTTCCTTTCAATTGCCCTGTCTTCAAATTCACTGATATTTTCTTTAACAGTATCTAAACTGCTGTTAAGCCCATGCAGAGAATTTTTCAATTCAGATAGTTTACTTTTCACCTTTAGAATAATATTTGGTTTGTTTTCATATTTATTTTTCCTTTGTTCATTATAATAACACTTCTAAAATCCCTTTAAAATCATTTTTATAATAGCTTTTAAAAAGTCCTTGTCTTCTAATTCTACTACCTATCATTTCTGGATCTATTTTATTGACTCATTTTTTCTCCTGGTTATGCCACATTTTTCTGCTTATTTACACATAGTAAAATTTTTATTGGATTCTGAATATTTTGAATGTTGTCTGGATTTTTTTGTTTTTGTCTTCCTTTAAAAGTTGTGAGGCAGATAATTTGTTGGTAAATCAGTTTGATCCATTCAAGGTTTGTTTCCAAGCCTTGTTGGTGAGGTCTACAGTTCTACCACTAAGGCATGTCTTCCCTGGGTTCTCTGCTGAATACCCTTGGTACTCAAAAGCTCTTTCCACTTTGGTCAGAATGTGAGTCTCCCTGACTTGTTAAACCTTTGGTAGTAGTTGGCTTACAGCTTCCTGGTTATTGTTCTTAGCTTGAACCATGGAGTCTCCTCCCATGCACGCACCACTTAATAGTCAGCTTAAGATGCAAGGGGATACCAAAGAAGATTTCTGGGACTCTTAATGGGTAGTCTCCATCTCTGGGTACTCTGCCTGCAAATTCCAGTGGTTTCCGTCTTCCTGAATCCCAATCGTTGGAGCTCAGGTTCAGGGAGACTACAGTATTCTGCAGGCTCCTCCTATTTGTGCTAGAGTCCAGAAAACACTTCCAGGCAGAGCGCAGGGCAATCAAAGGCCTTATCTCATTCACAGATGAAAGTCCTGTGATGACTGTTGATCAATATCTGCAAACAGCTGCTTTGCCTATTTTGTATAGTTTTCTGTCTATAGCAAGAGGGCTAGTGTAGTACCAATTACACTGGCATGGCCAGAAGCAAAAATCTGTCATTAAGCTTTTTTTTTAAACTAAATTTTAATACTTTATTGAATAATTACATTTTTAGGATATATTATATATGCTTAAAATACATAGATGTAGACTTACTGATGTAATTAATATAGGATATTAAAAATACCCATGATTAATAAAAAACATAAAAATAATGTATTTCCTTCTGTCTCATTACATAGTAGGCTGTTTTTACTGCTTGTTTCCTGTTCCAATAATACTTCTATGAACTAATTGCAGCCTTTGGGATATGCTTCCTTTATTTTATGCAGAGGTGAAATCATCAAACATAACGTTCACTTTGACGCGTTGCACTGCTCTGATCACGCCCACACACTGATTCCCAGCTCAGTGCAAGATAACATGGAGCTAAATGGCTTCTAAACGAGTGTTTGAACTTGGGCTACTCAGGGTTTCACTTACCTGCAGTGGTAAGTATGTCCAGTGTTTTTAAACACTTGGCAACGCATTCATGTTGTAAGTAAAATATCGCTTTCTCAGAGAAGAGTATTTTGGAGTACAGAAGTAATTTGTACTTGTGAAATAAAAGTGGGATTCCAAGTTATAGTTTTATAAAAGATTCCAGAAAGTCCTATTTAATTTGGCTCTTTTTGGTGACATTTTCCTCCTGAGCTCTGAAAGCAGTCTCCTGTCAAAAGTGAATCCTATTTTTGTTGTATGAGTTTATGTCACAAGTTACACCTAATATTGAATGACTTGGATGCATTCTCTTCACCTTTTTCTAGGCTCTTTATAGTCTTTTAAAGATCACTAATTTTGGAAAAATCACATTAATTTGATTTGCATTAAATTTTCTCTGTTCTCATCCTTACTGTATTTCCAAATTACCTGTCACTATGTTTTAAGTGGGTCTCTTGCAAACGAATATGACTTGGTTAAGTTTTAAAAATCCAATCTAAGAATCTGTACTGTCTTCATTAACTCTTATTGTTGAGGTACTGGCTTCCAAATTCTTAATTTTGAAAGTTCCTATTTACCTTGCTTTCCCTTCTCCTTCCTTCTTTGTACTGCATTAATATAAATTTTTTTATTAACTTTTTCTCTTTTTTGACTGCTCTGGGAGTTATATATTCTATCTCTAGTCCTTTATACATTTTCCTTAAGGTTTTCATATACATAGGTAACAAACCAATGTCTAAAATTTTAATTCCACCTTATTTTTAAACATTTTGTATTAAAAATATCATCAGCAATCTCACCATTTTAACTTTATCAAATGTAATGAAAAGCAGTCTCTAAGAATGCTTCATCCTTCTGCCCGGACCCATGTGGCTCAGTCGGGTGGAGCACTGTCCCATGAACCAAGGTGTGGCAGGTCGGATTCCCGGTTGTGGCACAAGCCTGGGCTGCAGGTTTTGTCCCTGACCTGGGTGTATGCGTAATGCAGCCAATCAATGCTTCTC